TAGGTTAGGTCACGTAATGCTAGGTTAGATTAGGTCAGATTAGCTTATGTTATATCAGGTTAGGTTACGTTAGATTAAGTTCTTAGGTTTGGTTATATCACGTTAGGTTAGGTTAAGTTATATCACGTTAGATTAGGTTAGATTGGGTTATGTGAGATTAAGTTAGGTTACGTAAGGTTAGGTTTGATTAGGTTATGTTAAATTAGGTTAGATTCAGTCAGATTAGCTTATGTTTTATCAGGTTAGGTTCGATTAGGTTGAATTAGATTATCGTTATATTAGGTTAGGTTAGGATAGATCAGATTATATTATATCAGGTTATATTCGATTAGGTTGAGTCAGATTAGCGTTAGGTTAGGTTAGTTTGTTATATAAGGTTGATTCAGAATAGCGTAAGGATGGTTCAGTATAAGGTGAAATAAACTAGGGTGCCTAATCTTCACGTCGTCCTCTTTAACGTACGAGCCCAGAACTTAACTCTTAAACCACGATTGTTCTGGTTAGGTGAGTTTGGATTATCTCAGTTGAGTTAATCTCCCTCCCTGTCAGCCCGGAGGAGGATTACTGACCAGCACGGCAGGGGACAGGGAGAGCTATGTCGGCTGTCCTGTTGGAATATTTAGATAGATTGATTGATCGATAGATAGATGGATAGAGATAGATATTGTAATATATATTTGGTATGATTACTAAGGTCTCTCGTCCTCCCTCTCTTCTCTTCTCTTCTCTTCTCTTCTCTCCCTCTCCTCTCCTCTCTCCTCTCCTCTCCTCTCTCTCTCTCCTCTCTCCTCCTCCTCCTCCTCTCCTCCTCCTCCTCCTCCTCCTCCTCCTCTAATCTGCCCATCGGTCAGTGTTTATGTTCCATCTTTCATTTCCTCTTCCCCCTCCTCATTTATCTTCTCTTCTTCTTTCCACTCTCCATAATTCAATGACTCTTCTTAATTCTTTCCCTTCTCCATTTCCTCCTCTCTCTTCTAAGAGGACTATTTCCTTCTTCCTCCTCTCTCCTTCTGTTTCTTCGTCTCTCTTCCTCCATCTCGCCCCTTGTCCTCTCTCCTTCCTCCACTACCACCACTAGCTCTCTCTCCTCCTTCCTCCACCAGTAGCTCCTCCTCCTCCTCCTCCTCCTCCCTCCTCCTCCTCCATAACTGTTCATGATCTTTACTAATCAAACGTCAGCAACATCATTCTCCCTCCCATCTCTCTTCTCAGCCGTTCATAATCGTTCTCAGTCGCTCTCATCCGTTCTCGGTCGTCCTCAGTCGTCCTTAATCGTTCTCAGTTTTTTATCTTTCGTTCCCAGCCGTTCTCAGGCATTCTTAGTATTCCGTTCATCTTCTTAATCGTTCTCAGCCGTTCTTAATCGTTCTCAGTCGCTCTCATCCGTTCTCAGACGTCCTTAATCTATCTCGGTCTTTATCTTTCGTTCCCAGCCGTTCTCAGACATTCATAGTTGACAGTTCATCTTCTTAATCATTCTCAGCCGTTCTTTTTCTCCGTAGTCGTTATCACTGATTCTTATCCGTCTTCAGTAGTTCTCAATATTTCTTAGTCGTTTTCAGTCGTTCATATCCGTTCTCAGTCATTCTTAAACTTTCTTAGTCGTTCTCAGTCGTTTTCATCCGTTCTCAGTCGTTCTCATCCACTATCATCCGTTCTCAGTCGTTCATCCACTATCATCCGTTCTTGATCGTTCATAAGCACTGAATATTGACCGTGACCTTTGACCTCTCCGTGTTCCCAAATGAAATCACTTTGTCCTCGTCCATCATCCAATCCGCGTGTCAGGTTGGTAAAAAAATGGTTAACCCGTTTTTAAGGCACTGGCTGACAAGAGACACACACACACACACACACACACACACACACACACACACACACACACACACACACACATAAAAGAACGAACCAATAATCCTTTTTCTGGTCTGGAGAGAGAGAGGAGAAGAAAGAAATAAGGAAGAAGAGAGGAGGAGAGAAGAGGGAAGGGAAGAAAGGTGAGGAAGAGAGAGGAGAGAGAGGGTTAATCTCGTATGTCTCTCTCCCTTTGTTTGGTCAGTGTGAATAAATCATTTTGAGTTTACGTTTTGCACTGATTTATTGTTGTATTTTATCTATTTCTTTCTTTCCATTTAATCTCTCTCTCTCTCTCTCTCTCTCTCTCTCTCTCTCTCTCTCTCTCTCTTTCTCTCTCTCTCTCTCTCTCTCTCTCTCTCTCTCTCTCTCCCTCCCCGTTACTTGTGCTTTCCTTTTATTTTCATTCACCTTTTTTATTCTTTGTTTGTCTTTGTTGATGAATTTTTATTGTTTCGCATTTGCTTCCTTTTTTTATTTCCTTTCGTATTTATTTTTTCTGTATGTTCATTCTGTCTCTCTCTCTCTCTCTCTCTCTCTCTCTCTCTCTCTCTCTCTTCCATCTTCATTCCTGTCTGGTTAATTCCACCTTTCTCACTACATACTCACAGTTTCTTCCTCCGCCTCCTCTCCTTCTCCCTTCTTTCCCTCACATATGTCTTCCACCGTTTATCACCAGTTTCCCTATTCCTCACTTTGGTTTTCTTGTTCATTCATGTTCTCTCTCTCTCTCTCTCTCTCTCTCTCTCTCTCTCTCGTTTCCTGGATTTATGAGTTGAGGTGATTGGTGGTGAGGATGGTGAGTGTGGTGAGGGTAGTGAGGTATGGTGAGGTAGTGAGATGTAGTGAGGGTAGTGAGGTGTAGTGGGGATAGTGGTGTGGTGAGGGGTAGTGAGGTGTGGTGAGGTGAGTGAGTGTGGTGAGGATAGTGGTGTGGTGAGGATGGTGAGGTGTGGTGAGGTGGTGAGGTGTGGTGAGGAGGTAGTGAGGTGTGGTGGAGGATGGTGAGGTGTAGTGGGGATAGTGAGGTGTGGTGAGGGGGTAGTGAGGTGTGGTGAGGGTGAGTGAGGTGTGGTGAGGTGTGGTGAGGGATGGTGTGTAGTGAGTGAGTGGTGGGGTAGCAGGTGTGAGTGTAGTGAGGGGTAGGGAGGTGAGGGGTGGAGGTGTGGTGGGGAGGTAGTGAGGTGTAGTGAGTGAGGAGTGAGGTGTGGTGGGGGGTAGTGAGGTGTGGTGAGGGGTAGTGAGTAGTGAGTGATAGTGAGGTGTGGTGAGGGTAGTGAGGTGTGGAGGTGTGTGGTGAGGGGGAGTGTGGTGGGAGATGAGGTGTGGTGAGGGTGGTGAGGTGTGGTGAGGATGTGGGGTGGGAGGGGGTGAGGTGGTGAGGTGGGGTGGTGAGGTGAGTGGTGAGGTGTGGTGAGGTGGTGAGGTGAGGTGTGGTGAGGGTAGGGTGGTGGAGGGGTAGTGAGGTGTGGTGAGGGGTAGTGAGGTGTGGTGAGGGGTAGTGAGGTGTGGTGAGGGGTAGTGAGGTGTGGTGAGGGGTAGTGAGGTGTGGTGAGGGGTAGTGAGGTGTGGTGAGGGGTAGTGAGGTGTAGTGAGGTTAATATTAGGTTAGGTTATGCTAGATTGTTAGGTTATTAGGTTAGATTGTTAGGTTAGATATTTAGGTTATTAGGTTAGGTTAGATTGTTAGGTTAATCTTAGGGTTGTTAATCTTAAGTAGAAATAAGCTGGGGTGCCTAATCTTAACGTGATCGCTTAAATATTTCAATAGGACGAGTGTTACGATATCGGCACACGGGGGCGATAAGGACGATATACCGATAACTAACCGCAGGATTTTTGTCTCTGGCTGCAAGTGGTTGATTTTCCGATATCTTTAACTTTATCCTCTACCATAAGATGTACTGAATGTAACAATATCTGATTGCTATGCCGATAAGATTGAAATACCGATAACAGAACCCGATATTTGGTTTGTTATTTACCTCCAAGTAATTATAGTTCCGATATTATGATGATATTAATCTTTTGTTTAATATCGGTCTAAATATAACTTCCATTTATCAGTATTTGTTTACAGTGACCTCGGCCCTCCATCCCACCCTTGTTTACAGGGTTTATATCTGTTTACACTTGGATGCTCACCCTATTGTGTTTACAGTCGATTAACGGTGGGCCTAACTCATCCCTGTAAACAAATAAATCGTTGTTTTTTTTGTCTGGTTTAGCTTTGATATATATTTTGTATAGTATATGGTGGTTAAGTGGATTATATGGTGTGTTCAGTTCATAATGGTGAGTTATTGCGGTAGTAGTGGTGGCGATAGTAGTAGTAGTAGCGGTAGTAGGAGTAGTAATTGTAGTGATAGTAGTATTGATAATAGTAGTGACAGTGGTGGTAGTAGTGATAGTAGTAGTAGTGATATTAATAGAGAAATAATAGTAGTAACAGTGATAGTAGCGATAGTAATAGACCAGCAGTAGCAATAGTAATACAGGTTGACAATCCTTTATCAGAAATCCTTGGGGCCAGAGGCATTTCGGTTTTCAGAATGGTTAGGGGTTTTTTTTTTATGTGTATTAGCCCACCCAGGCATAGATCACTGACCCACATTGGGGCCTGGGGATCGAAAATATAATAAAAATTATAATAATAATAATAATTCATAGGTCTACAGGTAGGTCATGTTTCTCATTTTTGATCTTTTTTTCATTCTTGTATTTCTTTACTGTATTATTATTATTTTATTATTATATTTTATTATTATTATTGTAATCATTATTATTGTATTTTGGTGTATTTTTATTAAAATTTTTATTTACTATGAATAATTATTATTATTATAATTATTATTACTATTTAATTTTCGCCCAGGCCCCGATGTGGGTCAGTGATCTATGCCTGGGTGGGCTAATAATCCCTGGAAAAAAACAAAAAAACAATGACCCACAAAAAAACTTAAGGTTTTTAGAGCTTTTCGGTTTTTGGAATTTCGGATAAAGGGTTGTCAACCTGTAGTTAACAGTAATAGTAGGTTTAATAGTAGTAGTAACAGTAGGTTGTAATAGTAGTAGTAACAGTAGTAATAGTATTAACATCAATGGATTATACACAGCCATCTCAAGTGTTCCTCTCCTGCCCACAGCTTAACACGGAGTGGGCTCAGGTGGAGGTGATAGACCTAATCAACGATGGGTCTGGCCTGGGCTTCGGCATCATCGGCGGCAGGTCGACAGGTGTGGTGGTTAAGACCATCCTACCTGGAGGCGTCGCTGACAGGGTGAGTAGACTTACACCTGTTATGACCTGGTTTATTGTTGGTCTCTCTCTCTCTCTCTCTCTCTCTCTCTCTCTCTCTCTCTCTCTCTCTCTCTCTCTCTCTCTCTCTCTCTCTCTTTAGTTGATTACTGCCGTCTCTCCATCTTTCTTTTATTGCCACCTTCTCTTGTTTATGATCTATTCTTGTTATTGTTTATTTGTCATTGTTTTGGTGTTTTATTTGTGTGATTTATTCGCCAATTTAAATCACTGTGTATAGATTTATAATTCCTAGTTTCGATATTTTTTTCCAATTGCCAAATTCTCGATATTTTTAGTATTTAATTTTCAGTCAGGTCAATTATTTTTCTACGAGTATAATCCTTGATTTATTTTACTTTATTTTTAATTCCCAGATTTATAATTATTTTTTTTATTTATTAACGAGATTGATTCTTTTTATATTTAATTCCCAGATTTATACTTTATTTTTGTACTTAATTCCCAGATTCTCAATTAATTCCTAGATTATGTTTTTAATTAATTCCCAGTTATATTACACGCGTGGTGGGTCCCTTACCGTCATCCATTAGTGTGGGGTAAAGGAAGACTCACCTGAAGATTAACCACCCTAAGGCTACTAGATGGGGTTAGGTTAGGTTAATTTAGGTTAGGTTAGGTTAGGTTTGGTTAGGTTTGGTTAATTTAGGTTAGGCTATGGAAGGTAGCTTAGGTTAGGTTACTGTCAAGTTAGATTAGATTAACGTTAGGTTAGTGTAGTAGGTTAAATTAGGTTAGGGAAGGTTAGATTAGGCTAAGTTAGGGTAGCTTACGTTTGGTCAGGTTAGGTTAGAATAGGTTAGCGTTAGGGAGGTTAATCTTCAGGTAATCACGCCTAACACAACACAGTTATAACATTCCTCGTTTCTAATGATATTGTGAATTAATAATGAGATCGTCGGTGCATAAATTTACCTCAGCGACTCAAAAACTGTGAGGCGGAAAAACACGGCAATCTACACCACCTGTGATTTATTGTAATTACCTGGGCTGGAAAAAAAATGAGGTTTTGTGTTTTTGTTTTTTTTAGTTTGTGTTTGTTTTCGTATTTTATATTTTCTGGGTTTTTTTCTCGGGTTTTTCGTCTAAATTGTTTTTCTTAGGCTTTTATTTTTGTTGTTTATTTTCATGTTTTCTTTTTCACTTTACTGTGTGTGTGTGTTCGTTCGTTCGTTCGTTCGTTCGTTCGTTCGTTCCCCTGGCCTTGTTTTTAGGAGGGATAGAGAATTAAGGAATATGGGAGGAGAGGGGAAAGAAGAATTGAATAAAGAGAGTAGACAAGAAAAAATAAGAGAAGAACGAGAAAGGAAGAGTAGAGAAAAAAGTAAAGAAGGGAAGAGGAAGTCGACATGAGAAACGGAGGAGAGGGAAGGAGAGTAAATAGGGTGTGAGGAAAGACCGAAGTTGAGACAAAGGAAAGGAAGGGAAGGAAATGAGAGACAAATGAGATGGGAGGAAGAAGAGGAGGAGACGATAAAGAATGGTGGGAGAAAAGAGGGTGTAAGAAGAAGATGAGAGGAAGGGAGGGAGGGAATAAGTGGGGAAGAAGATTAAGCAGGATGCGAGAAAGAGAGAGAAGGGAGGAGAGGGGAGAGAAAAGATGAAAGAGAGAAGGGAAAAGAAAGATGAGAGGGGGGTAGTAGAGGAAGAGAAGAATAGAAAAAGAAATAAAGGGATAGGAGAGGGAAGGAAAATGAAGCAATATGTGAGACAAAGGAGAGAAAGAGTGAGAAAAGGGAGGAATAACAATAAAATAAGGAAGAAGAAGGGAGACGATAACAGATGGAAGAAGATGGTGGGAACAGGAGAAAAGAACGATAATAAACATTGTGGGAAGCGAGATAGGGTCATTATATGGGGCGTGGTCAGGTGTGTACCGTATCCTAATGTCACCTAATTAGTGCAAGTAGACAGACACCTGGTCCAGCTCCCACCTGTGTGATCACTTACAGAAGGGCGTGGCCAGTCCCTGTGTGTGTGTGTGTTTATCTCTCTCTCTCTCTCTCTCTCACACACACACACACACACACACACACACACACACACACACACACACACACACACACACACATAAACATACAGTAATTAGTATCTTTAAAGGGAGATAGGGGGTTCAATACACTAATGGACCCCCTTAACGACCTCAAAAGCCCACATTGGGACGTCTGGTTTGCGGTGGAACTACTTGTGGGGGGGGATCTGCGGGTGTCATCCAGGCCGGGTGTGGATGAGTGGGGTGGCTTAACACACTCACTCACTCACTCACTTTCATAGAAGACACCCGTGACCCTGCCACCCGCACCTCCTTACCACCCACCAAACGGTCCTCTCTTGCCACCCACCTTCCCATCCACCCAACTATACCACCCTGCCACCCACCACCCATAATCTCCCCTAACCAAGGCAACAATTAATCCACCATTAGGAGTTGCAGAAGTGTAATTACCCCCCAACATTAGGGCCGGTGAGGGAACCTGATGACCCTGAGACCCACTCCTTGACCCAGGGACGTACGAGACTTCAGGGCGGACCTTACCGGTGACCTTACACGTGTTAGATGAGGGGGAGGAAGGAAGGGAGGGCTTGGAGCAGGAAGAGGCAGGGAGGATGGAAGGGGTGTAGAGCATGATGGGGAGGAAGAGGGGGAGATTGGAGGGCTGTAGAGGTTGATTGTGGGGAGGAAAGGAGGTTGTGGAGGAGAAAGATGGAGAGGGGGAGGAAGGGGTCGTAAGAGGAGGAAGATGAGAGTATGAGCCAGCCAGCCAGCCTCCTACCCGCTCACTAGGATACAGACAGACAGACATTGACAGACAGACAGACACAAACACACAGGCAGACAGACAGACAGACACTGACAGATGCACAGGCAGACAGACAGACACTGACAGACAAACATTGACAGACAGACACAAACACACAGGCAGACAGACAGACAGACACTGACAGATGCACAGGCAGACAGACAGACAGACACTGACAGACAAACATTGACAGACAGACAGACAAACACACAGGCAGACAGACAGACAGACACTGACAGATGCACAGGCAGACAGACAGACAGACACTGACAGACAAACATTGACAGACAGACAGACACAAACACACAGGCAGACAGACAGACACTGACAGACAAACATTGACAGACAGACAGACACAAACACACAAGCAGACAGACAGACAGACACTGACAGATGCACAGGCAGACAGACAGACACTGACAGATGCACAGCCAGACAGACACACCCACAGACAGACAGACACTGACAGATGCATAGGCAGACAGATGACAGACACTGAGATGCACAGGCAGACAGACAGACACTGACAGATGCACAGACAGACAGACACTGACAGACGCACAGGCAGACAGACACTGACAGATGCACAGGCAGACAGACAGACTGACAGATGCACAGACAGACAGACACTGACAGACGCACAGGCAGACAGACACTGACAGATGCACAGACAGGCAGACAGACACTGACAGACGCACAGACAGACAAACACTGACAGACGCACAGGCAGACAGACACTGACAGATGCACAGGCAGACAGACACTGACAGACGCACAGACAGACACTGACAGACGCACAGACAGACAGACACTGACAGACGCACAGGCAGACAGACACTGCAGACAGATGCACAGGCAGACAGACAGACACTGACAGATGCACAGGCAGACAGACACTGACAGACGCACAGACAGACACTGACAGACGCACAGACAGACAGACACTGACAGACGCACAGGCAGACAGACACTGACAGACGCACAGGCAGACAGACACTAACAGACGCACAGACACAAAAGACTGTATACCCCACGAGGAACTCATAAAGCCAGGAGGGTCGACTCGTGCAGGTGTGGTCGACTGATCGAGGTCTTGCAGGGACAATAATGGGTGGTAGTGCATCACTCTTGCTCGACTCTCTCTTTTATTCTCAACTCTTGTTTTGTGTGACTTGTTTGGGTTTTTTTAATGGCTTTTGTTTTTGTTTGAGGAGGTTTAGGTTTTGTTTTTATGTTGTGGATTTTGTTTATTAGTGGTTTTTGTTTTAGGAGGTTTTGGTTTTGTTTTTAAGGGGTTTAGGTTTTTTATGTTGTTGGTTTTGTTTATTAGTGGCTTTTGGTTTTGTTTTATTAAGGGGGTAAGGTTTTGTTTTGTGTTTATTAAGGGTTTTTAGGATTTTTTATTTTTAAGGGGTTAGGTATTTTATGTTTAGCGAGAGATTTTGGGTTTGTTTTAAATGCTTTTGTTTTTAAAGGGGTTTATTTTTTTTTAAGAGTCGGTTTTTTATTTAAGGGATTCCTGGTTTTTTGTTAGATAATTTCCTTTTTGGGGTCACGGTTTTTTATTTTAGGGATGTGAAGTAGTTTTAAAATGTCTCTCACTCTCTCTAATTCTCTCTCACTATTTCCTATTACTCAACTGAGAGACTTTTCCCACGCCTGTTGTCTCTCACTGATTCTCTGTTATTAATACGATTATCAATATTTTTCGTTTAACTCTGCAAAGCCAATTTTCCATCTTAGTGTTGTGACCGGAATCAAAGCTTATTTATTGATGAATTCTATGTTATTGCTGTAAAAGAGGTGTTGCTGTTATTGTGTTAATTCTGTAATGGATGTGTTCTGCTGTTATTCTGTCTCGCTGCTGTAATAGATGTGTTGCGCTGTAACTTTCACTGCTGTAGTGTATTTGTTTTGCTGTAATTCCATCTCACTGCTGTCATAGACGTGTTATACTGTAAATCTCACAGTCCATTGTAACTTGAAGGTCACAGGATATCTCCCCGTCTCATCCCCGCCATCCTTACCTCTCCTACAGGACGCCAGGCTTCAGTCAGGTGACCACATCCTGCAGATCGGAGAGGTCAACCTGCGAGGGATGGGCAGCGACCAGGTGGCCGCTGTGCTTCGCCAGTCTGGCTCACACGTTCGCCTCGTTGTCGCCAGGCCTATCGAACCCACCTCACCGGACTTCCAGGTCAGGCAGGTGAGTATCCAATTACCTGGTGGCACATGTACCTGGTTAAGTTAGGTCACTGTCAGGTTACTATTCTTATCATATAGGTGTGGTGAATGACAGACAGGTGTGGTGAATGACAGACAGGTGTGGAGAGAACGACAAACAGGTGTGGAGAACCAGAGATAGATGTGGTGAACGACGAACAGGTGTGGAGAGAACGACAAACAGGTGTGGATAAAACGACAAACAGGTGTGGAGAACGACAGACAAGTGTGGAGAGAACGACAAACAGGTGTGGAGAGAACGACAGACAGGTGTGGAAATGACAGACAGGTGTTGAGAAAGACAAACAGGCGTGGAGAACGACAAACAGGTGTGGATAACCAGAGACAGGTGTGGAAACGACAGACAGGTGTGGAAACGACAGACAGGTGTGGAAATGACAGACGTGTTGAGAAAGACAAACAGGTGTGGGCGTGTCTCTCTCTCCACGCCCATTTAACTTTAAAGGCTCCTGGGTAATGACACTCACGAGTCTTGATGGACCTGAGAGAGAGAGGGGGGGAGAGAGGGGGGCGAGTCTTGATGGACCTGAGAGAGAGAGGGGGGGAGAGAGAGAGGGGGGGAGGAGAGAGAGTTTGTATTATTTTCTGATTGATGGTAGGAAACTGAGTGAGAGAGATTAGGTTGGTTAGGTTAGGTTAGGTTGGTTAGTTTAGGTTAGGTTAGGTTGGTTGGTTAGTTTAGGTTAGGTTGGTTAGTTTAGGTTAGGTTGGTTAGGTTAATATCGCATCGTTAAGAACTTTGTTAAAAAAATACGAAAAATTGATTTAATATTATTTAACTTTACTTTAAAATGCAGTCACTTTCATCAACTCACTTTATTCATCACTTAATTCACTTTATTCATCACTTAACTCACTTTATTCATCACTTAACTCACTTTATTCATCACTTAACTCACTTTATTCATCACTTAACTCACTTTATTCATCACTTAACTCACTTTATTCATCACTTAACAGGTTGGTTAGGTTAGGTTAGGTTGGTTAGTTTAGGTTAGGTTAGGTTGGTTGGTTAGTTTAGGTTAGGTTGGTTAGTTTAGGTTAGGTTGGTTAGGTTAATATCGCATCGTTAAGAACTTTGTTAAAAAAATACGAAAAATTGATTTAATATTATTTAACTTTACTTTAAAATGCAGTCACTTTCATCAACTCACTTTATTCATCACTTAATTCACTTTATTCATCACTTAACTCACTTTATTCATCACTTAACTCACTTTATTCATCACTTAACTCACTTTATTCATCACTTAACTCACTTTATTCATCACTTAACTCACTTTATTCATCACTTAACTCACTTTCTTCACCACTTCACTCATCATTTACCTTATTTAACTCACTTCACTTATCGTTTGCCTTACTTGCCTCACTTCACTCGTCATTCACCTCACTTAACTCATCATTTACTTCATGTAACCCACTTAACTGATCGTTTACCTCACTTAACTCATCCTAATTAACTCACCTGTAAACGTCCATCAACCCTACAGGTGGGCAGGTCGGCGCCCATCGTGGAGACCCGTGTATTGAACGACCCCGAAGAACTGGAGCGTCGACTGAGTGGCCTTCCGAACGGCTTTCCCCCTGCCTCTTCCTCCTCCCTCCTCCCTACCCTCGCTGTCGCTGCCGGACCTGCCACCACCAACGGCGTCCTGACACCCTACACCAATGACGACCCCGACACGCTACCCAGGGTGAGTACTGCCGTTGATTATCTGTTTGGGGGTGTTACTGTTTGAGCCTTCTGTTGGGGGTGTGACTGTTTCAGCCTTCTATTGGGGGTGTTACTGTTAGAGGCTTCTGTTGGGGGAGTTACTGTTAGAAGCTTATTTTGGGGGAGTTACTGTTAGAAGCTTCTGTTGGGGGAGTTACTGTTAGAAGCTTATTTTGGGGGAGTTACTGTTAGAAGCTTCTGTTGGGGGAGTTACTGTTAGAAGCTTATTTTGGGGGTGTTATTGTTAGAAGCTTCTGTTGGAGGAGTTACTGTTAGAAGCTTATTTTGGGGGTGTTACTGTTAGAAGCTTTTGTTGGGGGTGTTACTGTTAGAAGCTTCTGTTGGGGGAGTTACTGTTAGAAGCTTTTGTTGGGGGTGTTACTGTTAGAAGCTTCTGTTGGGGGTGTTACTGTTAGAAGCTTCTGTTGGGGGTGTTACTGTTAGGTAAATACGGATAGATGTCTCAATTTAGGTGGAATGTACTGTGAAATGTACTCTGATGTACTACAAAGGTGAGTACTCTACCACTTGGTGTATTTTTCTGTTGGGGATGTACTAAATGTACTCTTTAGGTTTGGGTAATCTCTTGTTACTTCAGGTGGGATGTAATGTAATAATGTACTCCACGAAAGGTACCACTGGGCGCCTTTTTCTGAGGTGTACTTTGTGCTATACTGTACTGTACTACAAAGGGAATACCAATCGTACCTCGCTGAATAGTCTTTTTTGTACACTGTTATGCTACTACGATTGTTTGGGTGTACAGTAATATTTATACAGGTACTTTATATTCGCTCTTGGGTGTACTGTAATGATGTAATAATGTACTACCTTAAGGGGTGAGCTACCATTTAGATGCTCGTTAAGGGTGATGTAATGATGTACTAATGATGTAAGGATGTGATGTTTGTACTACAATGGCGATATAACGAGTACTACTAAGGGTGTGTCTAGAAATGTACTTCATCTATATCCTCCTTTACCTTCCTCCTTTCCACCCTTCCTCTTTCTCTTCCATCCTCCCCCCTTCCTATCTACACTCTCACCCCCCTTCCATCTTCTCTCTCTCCCCCTCCCTCCTTTCCTCTCTTCCTCTCTTCCTCTCTTCCTCTCCCATCCTCCCTTCCCGTCTCTTATCCAATCATCTCCCGCCCTTTCCCTCACCTCTGACACACACACAGAGGAGCCAAAGCGGTATTTATTCACCCCCAACACCACCATTGCGAACATCGTGACACGGCAGTAGAAGGTAACCCCATCCAATGTACATGGTGCCAGGGAGGGGTCAGGGAGGGAAGGGTCAGAGAAGGGGAGGGGTCAGGGGTGAAGGTTAGGTCACACCCATGGCACTCGTCCTCTTTATGTCACTGGTCAATAATTTCCTCAGGTTGACTCCCTATGGCGCTGTTCGGCTGCTGACGTCAGGATTATCTCTCACTTCTATCTCTTCTCTGCTTCGCTTGCTGTCTGTTTCGTTACCACACATACCTTTCTATAATACATCTCTCTCTCTCTCTCTCTCTCTCTCTCTCTCTCTCTCTCTCTCTCTCTCTCTCTCTCTCTCTCTCTCTCTCTCTCTCTCTCTCTCTCTCTCTCTCTCTCTCTCTCTCTCTCTCTCTCTCTCTCTCTCTCTCTCTCTCTCCATACTACTAGTCATATCGGTGTGTGTGACCTCTGAACCTCTTGAGTTGACCCCATCATGCTATAGGTCAGCACGGACATGAGTGTGTCACAACCCCTCGGGAGTCTATCCGGTACCTTAACTAAATAATCCTCTAGTTTATTGTTTCCCTTAAAAAAATGACGATTTTTTTTACTGATTACCACCCTTAACATTTTATGATTTGGTATATGATCATTAGAGAATCCGGTACCTTAAGTAAACAAATAACCAAAATTGACGTACGATTTTGTTTAAGATTGAGTGGAAGTGAAAACCTGTCTGTATATAGCTTGGCCAGGGAGCAGTGTGTGTCCTCGTGCATAGGTTAAACAGGGTGTCTTGCCTGGGCCCACTCTTGTCTTGAATCACTTAAGTCCTCTTGTCTTTAGTCTTCCCTTCTTGTCTTGGGTGTTTGAGTGTCCGGTGTATATTGTTTTGGTTTGTTCAGTGGATACATAGATGGGTGGGGGGAATTTTTCCTTATATCTTGAGAAAAAAAAACCTTAAATTGTTTTTATACTGAAAATTTGTCTTGAATTTCCTTGTAAGTAGCTATTTTCTTGAGCAATTGTTTTCACCCCTGGTAGTGCTAAAGGGGGAAGTGGGGGTGGTGGTGGGGTGGGGTAGTGGTGGTGGGGTGGGGTAGTGGTGGGGTGAAGTTGGTCGTCGTGGTCGTTATCCAGGCCTTCATGGGTATCTGGTCCTATCTAAAAGGTTTTATTGACAAACTTTGTGAGAAACATGAATATTTATTGGTATATCCCAGCCCCAAGTTGCCACCCCACACCTTGTCTTCACCAAAGTTAGGGGGAATTGTCTCTTTTTGTCTTCAGTACTCTTAGGAAGATTCTGGTTGTCTACATATTCTTCTGTACGCTTTCATCATCTTCCTTGTCTCGCTCTTACCTTTCCTGTGTGTGTGTCTTCCTCTTTTCTATTCGTTTTCACCTCCCCTTCTTCCTCCACGTCTTCTCTTTTCTTCTCTTCATTGTGTGTTCTTCCTCTCCTTTTTCTACATACCATCATCATTTCCCCCCACGTTGTTGTTGTTGTTGTTGTTGTTAGCACTTTCTCCATACGTCATAACTTTGAGACTCAACCTTCAGAATATAATCGTGATGAACTGCCTCACCCACCCACTCTGAGGCCGTGATGTTGTGTGTGTGTGTCTTACTACTGCACTATACTGACACCGTATTGTACTATACTGCACTATACTATCACCACACTTCACTACTATACTGCCGCCATATTGTACTATAGTGCCACCATATTGTACTGTACTGTACTACACTATTCTTAGTTATTTATCGACCCAAACACACGTGGTACTTACTTATCGACCCAAACACACGTGAGGTATTTATTTATCGACCCCAAACACACGTGAGGTGCTTATTTATCAACCCAAACACACGTGAGGTACTTGTTTATCGACCCAAACACCGTGGGGTGCTTATTTATCGACCCAAACACGTGAGGTACTTGTTTATCGACCCAAACACGTGAGGTGCTTATTTATCGACCCAAACACACGTGAGGTACTTGTTTATCGACCCAAACACACGTGAATTTATTTATCGACCCCAAACACACGTGGAGGTGCTTATTTATCGACCCAAACACGTGAGGTACTTGTTTATCGACCCAAACACGTGAGGTGCTTATTTATCGACCCAAACACGTGAGGTGCTTCCCAAACACAGGTTATCGACCCAAACACGAGGTGCTTATTTATCGACCCAAAACACGTGGGTGTTATCGACCAAACACGTTTTTATCGACCCAAACACACGTGAGGTGCTTATTTATCAACCCAAACACACGTGAGGTGCTTATTTATCGACCCAAACACGTGAGGTGCTTATTTATCGACCCAAACACACGTGAGGTATTTTATTTATCGACCCCAAACACACGTAGAGGTGCTTATTTATCGACCCAAACACACGTGAGGTGCTTGTTTATCGACCCAAACACGTGAGTGCTTGTTTATCGACCCAAACACGCGAGGTGGTCTTGTTTATCGACCCAAACACACGTGAGTACTTGTTTATCGACCCAAACACGTGAACGGTGCTTGTTTATCGACCAAACACACGTGAGGTGCTTGTTTATCACCCAAACACACGTGGGGTACTTGTTTATCAACCCAAACACGTGAGGGTACTTGTTTATCACCCAAACACACGTGAGGTGCTTGTTTATCGCCAAACACACGTGAGGTGCTTGTTTATCGACCCAAACACACGTGAGGTGCTGTTTATCGACCCAAACACACGTGAGGTGCTTGTTTATCGACCCAAACACGTGACTTGCAGAGGTACTTGTTTATCGACCCAAACACACGTGAGGTACTTGTTTATCGAAAAACACGTGAGGTGCTTGTTTATCGACCCAAACACACGTAGGGTACTTGTTTATCGACCCAAACACACGTGAGGTGCTTGTTTATCGACCCAAACACACGTGAGGTGCTTGTTTATCGACCCAAACACACGTGAGGTACTTGTTTATCGACCCAAACACACGTGAGGTGCTTGTTTATCGACCCAAACACACGTGGTGCTTGTTTATCGACCCAAACACACGTGGTGCTTGTTTATCGGCCAAACACGTGAGACTTGTTTATACCAAACACACGTGAGGTACTTGTTTATCGACCCAAACACACGTGAGGTACTTGTTTATCGACCCAAACACACGTGAGGTACTTGTTTATCGACCCAAACACACGTGAGGTACTTATTTATCGACCCAAACACACGTGAGGTGCTTGTTGATGGGGTTAGGTGTTAGGGATGGTGGTAGAATGGGTGGAGGGGTGGGCGTGAGGATGAGTGGGTGTGGTCGTGAGGGTAGTTGTAGGCATGAGGGAGGGTGGATGACGGTGGGTAGCTGGGTCGGTGGATGGGTGTAGACGTGATTGAGGGTGGATGACGGTGGGTGGGTGGATGGGCGTGTTGGCGGGCGTGGTTGTAAATTTCGGTACTATGAAAGACTGACTCATGTTGGAAGGTTTGACCTTATTGGCATGCATTGGCAGTGGGCCTTCCTCCCTCCCTCCCCACTCTACCTTCTCATCCTCTCTCCCTTCTCCTCTTCTCTCCCTCCCTCTTTCCCTTCTCTCCCAACTCCTCCTCTCCTTGCCTCCCTTCCTTCTCTTTTTTCTCCTTCTCTTCCCTCTCTTCCTTCTCCCTCCCTCCATTACTCTTAACACGTCTCAATTTAACCTAACCTTAACCTAACCTCATCAGACCCACTAATATTAACTTGCTCTTAACATATATCAACCTAGCCTCACCTAACCAAATCCA